AATGCTTTATATAAATTAAAAAGCAAAAATGAGATAAAAGTAAATTATTAGTAGTTTTAGCGAAGAATACTTCTGAGCAAAAGGTTACTAAAAAAGATAAGTATCTAAAATTACACAAAGATGCTACTAAAACACTTTTAAATGAATTAAATAAAGAAACTTACGTTACTCTCTAACTAATAAACAATTTAAAACCATACAGCAGTGCGAGTCCCTGAATTCTAGAGTCGTTCTAAAGAGCATAAGTTTGCTTTTCTTCTGAGACCTCTAGTGTTTGCTTTCAAATTTCCAACGAAAATTTTAGAATTAGTTTTGGTTTTACTGTTGTATCCGTTACTGGAATTATTCCCTGTTCATATCAACAGTACATATCATTTTGTTGAACAATTACTTAATAACCTTCACCTCTTTAATGACAATTATATTCTGTTTTCTTATGACGTTGCTCAATTATACCCCAATATCCCGATTGAAGAAGGTGTAGCTTCTGTTATGACCGTGAAAAGAGAAAGTTTTAAATATTTCAACCGATTCGTTAGACTTAGCTCTGACGTCTGTATTAGGTAATGGATATTTAAGAATCAACTGGGAATTTTATAAACAAATTATAGGAATAGCTATGAGGAATAGAGTAGCATCCATAGGCGGCGCTTGAGTCTTTTTTTTTTTTTTGAATTGATTATCATGTTACATATAATGTATAATATTTTTGAGTTGGTGAGAATAATTCTGTGGAAGGGACAATTTATGTGGAGGGGAGGCCGTTTGTTTAATCACGGCAGGTATTCAATGGGGGTTGTCTCTCGAATGGTCAGAGATGATCTGCCTGTTTTCACCCATTTGAGAAGGCAATAGACCTGGGTGTTAAAAAACAAAAAACAGGAGGGAATGTAAGCTCATCAATCTGATACAGATTCAGATATGATATATACTGGAGTGTGGAACACAAACTTAGAGTGACGTTTAGTTTATCTGTTGATAAAATGTTTATTTACTTATGCTATACCAAGTAGAAAGTTACCGTTTTTGGACACAATCATTCATATTAAATATGGGAAAACCGTTACTGGTATTTTTAGCAAATCATCTTCTGAAACTCTTTGTTTTGGCCCGGCATGGCCAAATAAGCAACAAAACAAACAATAATTTGTTTCTTGATTTTGGGCCTGGCACGACCAGGTGGTTAGGGAGCTCGACTCGTAATCTGCGGGTCGCGGATTCATATCTCCGTCCCGCCAAACATGCTCGCCCTTTCAGCCGCGGGGGCGTTATAATGTGACGGTCAATCCCACTATTCGTTGGTAAAAAGAGTAGCCCCAGAGTTGGCGGTGGGTGGTGATGACTAGCTTCCGTCTCTCTAGTCTTACACTGCTAAATTATGGACGGCTAGCGCAGATAGCCCTCGTGCAGCTTTGCGCGAAATCCATAACAAACAAACAAA